CTTGTGCTTGTGTCCAAATGAATAGCAGATTGATTTGCTGCCATAGGCTTAATGTGAGATGGAATCTCAGACTCTATGTGCACAAAAGGAATACGAGGAGGAGACATATGTTCATCTATTTCAACATTGACATCCTCCAAATGAGGACTCAATGGTGGATGTGTTGCTTACCCCAAGAGTGTTATTGAAACACATCCTTATTGAGAAGGAGGTGAGCGGACGGGTGGGGTTATTGCAAAAGTTGGCATGGCTCATTGTCTATTTCAATATCTCCCACCAAGAATTGAGGAGAGGAGTGTTGGCGACATTTAAGTGGGGCCATGTTTAGCCTCCAAATTTACCGGGGATTAGTCGGGCTTTGGCCCGGACACTTTAGCTTAATGTATGCACTTTAGCTTCAATAGGAGAGGCAATTGGTTTTGAAAATTCGATGATAGGGCTAGTGGATAATCTAAGAGATTCCATGATGAAGTGGGGAGCTTGCTCTTCATCTTCTCTTCTTGGAATCCTTTGCTCCAATTGCATACCCCTCTGACAGATTTGGAAGAACCTTTGGAAAGGAATGTATCCTGGAGGCTTGGCAATGTATCCCTTGATTTCATCTATGAAGAGCTTGGCATAGTAATAATGCCTGTTGAATGCCAAACCATGAAAGATCTTCAATGTGTTCCTTGAGGCCTGATCCAAACTTGTTGTTTTGGCAAATAAGCACTTGTTGACACAAGAGAAAAGGGAGTACCAAATAGGAGGTAATGCCTTCCTTCTGAAGCTGCTAAGAAGAGGCAGTGCATCCTTGTAGCCCAGAGTAAGGAGGTCTTGGATCATTTTCTCTTGAGTAGGAAGCTCATCACCTCATCTTTGTTTGGTAGGTACAACATTTTTCTCATTAGGTTGAGGTTAAGGGAGAATGAGTACCCTCCCACCATGGATACCCGTTCTTCATCATCATCGTCATAAGTCAAGTTTTTCCACCATTGTTGCAAATATTACACCACACTTATCCAACTCGGCTTCACCAATGTTCACCCGAAATTGGACAATTATGTGTTTGACAAACGTTTTAAATGAGTGGTGAAAAACTCACAGATTTTATTAAACAAGGGTTTTACCGAGCTCTTTAAAATTAAGAACGTTTTAAATTGATTTTAAAAAAAACTCTTGAGTTGGTATTTATGAATTATATGAAACTCATTTAATCGGTTTGAGTTTGATTATTTATCAAGTTTATTGTAAAACATTTACAAGTTATTGAAAAACTTTAGCGATTCAGATTAATTTTTCCTTCCCCTTTAAAAGGAGAAAATCGTCTTAGCATATAATTATAAGTAATATTTAAAATGAAAAAATTAAACAACCACAAACAAGCAATAGGATTCGATATGGCCCACTAAGAAGTTTCCGTGAGCCACATGAAAAACACCAGTCAAACCCTAAGGACATCGAACAAATACTCCCACTAGCTCTGCCAAATGGGATGGACTCCGGGACGCCATCAGCGATTCCCTCGGTCTTCCGATTACATATAAAAAAATCTAAACTAATGTTACACTAGGTTAATATAACCTAACTATTACATTACATTTAGAATCGGACAAAAGATACTAACATCGTATAAAAATAAAAATTATCTTTTCTAATTGATTCAATCAGTTAAAATTGATTTAGTCTATCACCTTATTTATATGGACTGTCTTTTAGTTAATCCATGACTCAATAAGGTTTAATGATTATTTGTAATAATTATATAATTATCTGAATACAATTATACATATTTACAGATAATATATTGTAATTCTCATAATTACATTTTAACACATTTTCATAATTATCCTCCAAAAATAATTATTTTAACAATCAACTTGATTTAATCTAGGTTTCTACAAATGGAAGCAAACATATTTTTTGTATGCAACCCTATAGGTTTACATACTCCTCAGTAGTATCCATATGTGATGTGTCATGGGCATATAATAACTTACACTTTACTTCTTAACGCATGTTTATTATGGATAATTTCACATGTTTTAAATGTGGTGGTGGTATGCATAATCTCTCTATAGGGACACTGGATTTATGTAGACGGGTGTCAGCTGCAAGGATTAAGAGGTAGGGTTGGGTAGCTCCCGCCCAAATCATTGGCATTTTTTTTTATGAACCTGAATATTCAACCCGCTATGCGAACCGACAAATTCCAGGATGACCACCTGCTTTGCAGGTAGCCCGAAGTCAATGCATTTGAACCATATCATACAATACATATGAGATCTCAACTTATTATTTTCAAAAGCCATTTTAATTTGGAGCACAACTTATGGTGTCATTATGTACATGATTTATATGCGATTATTTGTGCAAGAAACCATGAATTCACTGAACTTTATAGTTGACTAGTTAAATGCATCTCAGTAACAGGGACATTGAAGTTAGATAAGGTATGGCACATGACTGGATGGGAAAGATTATTTATCTTTGATGTTGATACTCTATCATGTATGTCTTATTCTGGTATAGAACGGACTACCTATTAGAGAATAAGACCAGTATTTGTATAAATAAAATTTTGTTGAGAGATTTAGGGGCCGTTTACCAAACGCTTACTTAGGTAAGCCTTTACCAAGTAACACTACCTCATCGGATGAAGATTGTAAGGACCAAGAATCTTACCCGGTAAGAGCAAGACAAAGACCAAGACTCTTACCCGGTAAGTGAGAACGACGACTCTTACTACGGTAAGCGCTTACTGGGTAAATTGTTTCATACGATGTCGTTTTGGTGGACTAAATCTTACCCGCTAAGTAAATAACAGTGTTAAATTTTACCCGTAAACACTTACTAGGTAAGTGTTTGGTAAACGACCCCTTACTCTAGTTTGGAGTTTTTGTGATTGTATGGCGTAACACCATGGGATGAGATTTGGGGTGTTACATGAAGCACCAAGGACGATTATGTTTAAAGTCTTCCTCTTTCTTGACGTTGACTTGAATACTGAATCAATTGCTTGCAATTAGCTCGTTTATGAACACTTTTTCCTATTTTGTTTGTGTGAAACTTGTTTAAGTTAATATTTTGATGTTGAAACTATATTTTTTAAATAGGGAAAAGTCTAAAACAACTCAAGGGACTTTAGTGTTTGGAATGATTAAGTCATTGGACAATTTTTTGAGACAAATAAGTTTTGGATATTCCATAACCTGTTAAATAACTCATTGGACTTTCTAAAACCTGTTAGACATATGCTTATGACCTATACAATCAGTTAATGTGGTAAAATAATGGAAAAAAATCTATAAAAGTCAAATGATTTTGATATATTGAACGATTAAGTTCATGAACATTTTTTGAACTAAAAAAGTACTTATATATATAAAATGAAATGAATATACCAAAAAAGTACTTACATTTGAAAAGATTATTAATGAAATTTATTTTAATTAAAGATAAAATATAATCTATCAATGATTTTTCAAATTAAAAACATAAAAAAAATTAAAAAAATTACTGATTAAATTTATTTTAATTAAAAATAAAATATATTCTGTATGTGATTTAAAAAAAGTAAAAAAAGATTTAAAAAAATTACTGATGAAATTTATTTTAATTAAAAATAAAAAAATATTCCGTTAGTGATTTTCAATTTAAAAAAAATAGAAAATAATATGGTTAAATTACTGACGGATTGATATCACTGACAAAATTCAAACACGATCTTTCACACTTATTAACATGTTACTGTATTAGAGTGTCTGACGGTAGTCAAGTTAGTCATCAATTAAATATAAGTAATCTATGCATATATATCTATGAACACTGACGACGAATTTTAATAAATTATGTATTTAGTTAAATATTATCGTTACCCAATCAGTAATTTAATCAAATTATTTTATATTTCTTTCAATTTAAAAAATCACCAATAAAAATATTTTATTTTTAATTAAAATAAATTTAATTAATAATCCTTTTTAAATCCTTTTTTATTTTTTTTTTAATTTGAAAAATCTTTTGAAGAATACCTTTTATTTTTAATTAAAATAAATTCCATCAATAATATTTTTATATGCAAAGACTTTTTTGTAAATATAAGCACTTTCTTAGTATATTTGTTTTATTTTATAGATATAAATACTTTTTTGGTTCAAAAATGTTAAGAAACTTAATCGTTCAAAATATGAAAATTCATTTGCTTTCTTCAGACTTTTTTCATTATTTTACCACATTAACAAATTTTATAGGTCATATGAATGTATCTAACAATTATTTAACAGGTTTTGAAATGTCCAAAAACTTATTTGTTCCAAAAAAATTTCTAATGACTTAATCATTCCAAACACTAAAATCCATTGAGTTTTTTAGACTTTTCCCTTTTAATTAATGCATGTATATCATACGTGAAGAAATAATAGTATCACATGTGATTGTCTATAGTAAAATAGTGTTCTCACATTCTCGTAAAACGGATGTGTTCTCGTTTGAACCTCCACCTATATATATATATATATATATATATATATATATATATATATATTACATGTATAATCCTACTCATAATTATATGAACCGCTATGCCTCCAAGACAATCGCTCTCTCAAATCTCAATCCTATCCCGCTATTTCGCAGTTTGAACTGCTGTAACAGCATAGCTTTTCTAGGCTGTTAACTTTAGAGCATTAATCAAGGTGAATATAATCCGGTCTGAACACCCATAAACTAGCTTTTTGAAAAACACTTCAAGTAACGATTGAATAAACTCTAGAAGATATTTCCATTTCTTTCCAATTACGCCTCTTATACTTTTCCAATTAATTTTTAACTCGCCTTTTTTAGATCATTTTACATTATAAGCTACTTTCACAGAAAATGACTACTTTATCAGCTGGTCTATAAGTTAACAACTACTTTACCAGCTAGTTGGCGGACATAGCCTTGTTTGCATGCCCTTTTGCAGCCTTTTGAGAGTTGGAAGGGCAGCAAATATCATCACCCAAAAGAACATATAGAATGTGTGAAACAAAAAATAATCAAATCAAGTAACTTGGGTTTTGTGTTTTAATAAAAAGCCCTAAGCCAAAATTCTCAAAACGATAACCTAATAATCAACAGTTCCTCAACAAATAGGAAAGTTTTTTAGGTGTAGAATACCTGAGTATCCGTAAACTAAATACGAGTCTGACCATGAGATAGACTTCATTCCCAGCCAGTTGCAGCAGCAGCAGCAGCAGCAGTAGCAGTAGCAGTAGCAGCAACACCTTCAACAGGAGCTACAGGTGCAGCCACAGATTCCCATCCGCTGGTGCCAGAAACTGGAGCTGGAATGAGAAAAAAGAACCATCAAAATTAGGAAAGTTTCCGATAACATAAACATTGCAGTTTTACAGCTTCAACAAAACACCAGTAAGATGCAGACAAACAGAAACCAAATAAAACGAATGTTACTACCGTCAGCAGTCCAAGTGGGTGCAGCTACAGGGGCGGCAGCAATTGGTGGTGGCATATCAGGTGCCCATTGAGCATCAGGAATTTGGGCAGACCATTGATCACCGGTACCATACTCTGGGTAGTCTGTAACCAATGCTACCTCATCTTCCTCTTCATTCTTTGCCTCCTCTGGTTCTCTGTAAAAGAACAGATCCACCTGCAATAAAAACCACAAATAGGATGATAATATGCATGTTTATTAGAGTAAAGTTGTACAAAGGAGTAACCTTGGTCATAGAAAAAACAAATTTAAATAAGAATTAAACTTCTCGATGCATACCATGACATCCCATTTATGCCCCTGGTTGATAACCCCACGCATTTGCAAAACCATTCTCGCTAAAAGCCAGAAGAGACAGCCAATACTATGCTTTCCCTTGTTGTTAGAGGGGATACCGATATCTACATATCTCATGGGAGAATCAGTATCACAAAAAGCTATTGTTGGTATATTTCCAAGTGCTGCCTCCTTGATGGGCTGTAAAATACCCATCAAAATGTCAGATCAAATACAATTCATCCAAATAAGACACTTGAAATAGATAGGCAAACAGTCAGGAAAATCTATAGCTAACCATAAAACTCTCTAAAATTTCAGTATGTAGCAAAACATGTAATCTAATGTAAATACGCCTCATAATTACGTCATCTATCATCAAAAAGAAAAGTAAAGTTCGCGCATTTGATAGTAACATTAGTGGTAGCTATAGGTTTATAACTCTCAGGTTCCAGTTATTACAATCTTCATTCATAAAAGGCAGTGAAAGCTGAATTAAAAACAGCCCTTTAAATATTGCAAGCCAGCAGTCATTGCATAATGTGCAGAAGACGATGTACAAACCTGGTGGTCAGTCCGTGGATCGGTCAAGATCAGGAGACGAGGTTCGCTAAAGGAGGTCTGGAGCTGATTGGTGAAGGTACCAGGAGTATGACGTCCAGCAATGGCATGTGCCCCAGTGTATTGGGCAAACTTCAGCACAGCCCTCTGACCATATGGTCTGGCAGATTGTACAATGATATCCTGGGGATTCTCTATCGCAACGATAACCCTGGCTGCCATTTGAAGCTTTTCCCATGTTTTGCCAAGATTAATGATGTATATTCCTGAGAAAAAAAATATATCATGTTATCATAGGAAAACAATGGAACAGCCACAGATAAAGTTTACACATACAAGTTTCAATAACTATGTAAATGATGTAAGCTAACAAGTGTAAACACAAAAAGTCTTCATTGAAGACCCAGTTAAAATAATCCAAGAAGGCAAAAAATATATCAATAATGATGTCAAATTAAAGATTATAAAATTCCTCCAGCCATTAAGTGTAAATCATTTTAAATGATTGTACTTCTGCATTGATATATTGACTATTTACAAAAAGAAAAAGACAATGTTCGTTCTTCTGCTTTTATTGTGATTACAGAGATTGTGATCTGCTTGATGACCATTATGGCACAAGTCAACTGAGATATGCTCAGTTCATCGTAAACTTGACGTTACCATTAAAATTACCACTTGGTCACGCTCAAAGCATACACTTAGTTTGCAGTGGCAACTTCAATTTTATTTCTTTAACAAAGTAGAGATTGGTGCTACTTGATCGAGTTGTTTTATAGTTGGTTCATGCTGCCACTCAAATTGGCATTGCTTCAGCATATATTAATGTTTTTTTTTGGTAATCTATATGTTGTACTCTCGTTCCCAAACTAACTGCAACAATCTCCATTTTTAATTACATGTAACATTTTTTTGGCAATATTCTGAACTTTTCTACTTGTTGGAGTCCCACATCGGCTAGACTTGGACCATTTCTCCTGTATATATGTTGGAACCTCCCATTTCTCCTCAAGGGCTCTTTTGGAGAGTGATATGAAGGTTCCACATATTCTCAACATGGTATCATGACCAAGATCTGCCACTCTAGGGACTCGACACTCTAGCTAGCCCCCTCTCGACACTCCGGGACAATTTGTGTCCATCTAGCCTTCGTTGGAGGGGGCGTGTTGGAGCCCCACACCGGCTAGACTTGGACCATTTCTCCCGTTTATATGTTGGAACCTCCTCATTCTCCTTAAGGGCTCTTCTGGAGAGTGATCTATGGTTCCACATATTCTCAGCACTACTTAACAGATAAAGTTATTACAAATACTAAAGATATTGATTTAGGCCACATGATTCCCCTTATTTTTTCATTACTGAAGGAGTGAAGGGTATCAAGGAACTTTCAAGTATGTTTGCCAAAGTTTCTGTTTCTCCCATGTCTTTCGAGGACCTTTTCACAAGCAGGAGGTTTTCAAAGAAATAGCCTCTCTAACCTTTTAGGTAGAGAAAAGGCCTGTTACATCTTACCTGCCAGACCCTACTTCCAATATACCAGGTATGTTTGGTTTGGACTACCAGATCAAATGCTTTAATTAGTCCATGTGTGGTCAATCATAGCAATTTTTTTGTGGACAAAGGGAGCAAATGATTTAACTAGATTGCAGAATATGAGAATCCAAGTGACGTAATTATAGGACATAATCTTAGCTTTTATCTATAATATGTCAGTAGGCATTTAAGATTATTCTATACCAATTGTATTTTTCTGGCAGTTGCCAGAATACATAATGAAAATCAGATGAAAGAATGATGACGATCAGGTTAAAGAGAAAATATTGGATAAAATTATTGTGCCATGTAACCTTACCAATCTAGTGACATTGCAAACAATCTACTCCGTTCTCTCTTGCCTTTCGTATGTAATCTAACCGACCTAGAGACATTCTCATTTATACTGGCAACGTTTGTCTTTTAGAAAGATAACATAGTACCGTATTCAATATTTTCTCATATTATACTGTTGATTAACTTTCCCAGAGCCTATCAACATTTGTTTAGTTGTTTTTCTTCCAATTTAGTTAGTTGATTAGTTCACTGGTTTTCATATGTTTGGATTGCAATTTGCATACTTGTTCTTTAATCTTGAAGAGATGAAATTAACATAGTCTATAATCTGTCATATTCTTGACCACAGAAAACTTCATAAGCCTATATGATTTCACCAATCACCACTGGCATCCCAATGAAGACCGTAAAACCTTCAATGAAGAACGAACCTAAATTGTAATCTGAAGCTTGGATGAACAATATATTTGCATCATACTTTAATAAAGGAAAAAAAAACTCAAACCTAACGAACAGAGATGTATAGGCAATTAAATTGAAAACAAAAACGTAAGAGTATATACCATCATTCCGGCGTTTGAAGACGTATCGTTCCATCTGGAAATCACAGTTCTTAGTACCGAGGTGCACTTCGGCAGACAACATCATCTGTATGTCAAGCTCCTTCATCGACAAATCGTTCTGCCCCTTCTGTGCCGCCATGGTCGCTAATCGTTTCTGCAATTAGGGTTTTTTAGGGAGCAGGGTTTATAGTACAGAAACGCGACGTAGATGGACGAAAATGAAATCAAGGTAAGTGACCATATTTATATTTTAGATTACTATAATGGTACCTCCAAAGTGATCGCCAAACCGGCCCGGCCCGGCCCGAGATCATCGGAGGACCGAGATCAAGATCGGAATCTATAATGACCGGTTATAGGACTGAAATCTGGGACCAGTTATGGATTTGGAAAGTTTTGCGGGACCAGGACCGACGGAGATCGGTTATGGACCGGTCCGGCCCGATTTTTAAAAAATGTAGCTATTTTTTTAAATGTAGCCCTTTTTTGTATTTTTTGCTTTCTAAACACTATTTATAAATGTTTTGGTTGAGGGATTTACATACCAAGTTCTCAATTCGTAAAAAACGCAAAAAAACGTTTACAATTATCGGTTTCTCGATATATTTTGTAAGACAATGTAATTTTAATTATAATAAAATGCATTTTAAAGTGTATTTTGAGTGACTCAATTACAAATTTTATAATGTATTAAAAATATATATCATTAAAAACCTAAAATAAAAAAATTATTTTTTAATGACCGGAACCGATTGGGACCGGGACTGGGACCGCAACCCATAACCGGTTACAATAAAGTTTGACTGGGCTCAACTTTTTCGATCGGCACCGGGACCGGTTATGGCCAGTTATGAGCAATCTTGGGACCGGTTTTTGGACATCACTACATACAATGCAGCGAGATACATCTCGGCTTTAATGTTTTATTTTATTTATTCTTTATCGATATTATAATACGGTTTTATATGGTTTTGAGAAAAATGAGAATATTTTTATCATTGAATAAAATATAAATTTAAAGATATCATTAATTTTTTTTATATTAGTATTAAATTAACTATTCAAAAAGTTTTTGATTTTGTTTTGTAATTTCTTTAATTTAAATTTTTTATTATAATTTAATTTAGATTTAACAAAAAGTAATTTATTTTTATTTAATAATGTAATTTTTTTATAAATATAATTGATTAAGTATTATATTAGAACACAATTATTATCTTAATTATAATTTAAATTTTTTATATTTAAAATAAAATTTTATCTTGTATTTGATTATGTTTATCTGTAGTTAAAATAACATTGATAGATGAACCAAGAGAATAGATGAAATGCATGGATTCTAGTGTCGTATGAATACTAACCCCTGATCATTATGTCTGGAATCACAAAGAAGAACATTTTTTCGTTGATGCATTCGTTTCATCATAAAAATAAATCCTATAAATTGAATCTTGAATAACAAACAAAAGATTGAAGAAAACAAGAAAACGAACCTTAAAGATGTTGACTTTGTTTGAATAAAAAACAAAAGATCGTAGAAAACACGTATAGTATGAATAATTGAAATCGAAAACAAAAATAAAAGATTGAAAGGAAACTAACCTTGGAAGCTTTGAATCTTTATGTATCCTGAACCACCTGCTCGGAATATATATGAGTAGAGAATGTGATAGAAATGAAAAACGATATGTATATTCGTCTATATCTGTTGAATTGTTGTATGATGGAGGTTATATAAACCTGTTGAAATCGATAGAAGGATATAGATGAAGCAATTCGCCTAATGGAGGTTATCTAAATCTGTTGAAATAGATAGATAGAAGGATATGGATGATATGGGTGAAGCTGATAAATCTGGGGATATGTTAGAAAGTTAATAGATTAGGGATGAAGATATATGTTTAATAGGTTGTATCCAAAGCATTGAGAATTTGTAACATTGAAAATTATTAGCTTAAAAAAATTATCTTTTTGTTGTAGGATAAGTGTGTCACCGTCTAAAGGATATAGCAATAGAGATAGAGATAAATATATTAGATTTAGATTAGAAGTGAAATATCTCGTAGTTATCTACTTGTAACTCATCTCTATAAAAAGGACTTATGATTAATGAGAAATACAGATTCATTATCTCTATTTTATTATTGTTTTCTTCCGGTTATTCTATAACACATTATCAGCATGTTGCTCATTGCCTATCTGCCACTTCATCAATCAATTCTTCTACGACTACTGTAATTCAAGTAAGCATTTTTATATTGATGCAAGTTAGGATTCATTGACATAACACATTGATTTGACGTAACTTTAATTATTTAATTTACGTTTATTAATTATATGATAAATGAAATATGTGATCTAATGTTTGATGACACAACTTGTGAATCCATGATATGATATTGAGTTTTTTTTAATAAATGGTTGCTTATGCGAAAAAAAAAATTAATTATCAAGTTTACTTCAAATTGTGTGATTAATTTGTTGGCTTATGATATGCATACTGGTTAAATTGTTCTTATTTAATCATTGAGTTAATTAATTAATTTATTAATGCTATTTTCATATTCGACTATTAATATGAATAATTATCTTATATTCTATTAATTTGTTGTAAATCCAATACCTAATTGTTTATCAAGTTATAGTTGTTTATTTCTTCGTATGAACAAATATGATAATTTCATCTGAATATGATTTTCTTTCTATATGCTAAAACTATAAACATCACTTTACTATGTTTAATGCTATAAATGCAATATATGATTTACCACCTAATTCACGTACTATGTTTACCACTTTTTCTAAGATACTCTTGATCTCCCTGTTTGAAAGTTCAGCTAAGTCATTTGTCTGAAGGTGATAAGCAGTAGCTACCTTAGGGCTTATGTTATACTTTTCAAGAACTCATTTCATCTTGTTATTTACAAAGTGGGTACCCTCATCACTGGTCATAGCTCTGGGAGTACCAAATCTTGTAAAAATATGCTTATGCAAAAATTTAACTAATGTCTTTGCATCATTGGTGTGACAAGCTACAGCCTCTACCCATTTGGATACATAATCTACAGCTACCAAAATGTATTGATTGTTTCCATACATGGGAAATGGTCCCATTAAGTCTATCCCCCATACGTCAAAGAGTTCCACTTCAAGAATGCCATTGAATGGCATTTCATGTCTTTAGGAGATGGATCCAACCATTTGACATTCATTGCACCTTTTGACAAAGCTATCAGCATCTTGAAATAGGGTAGGCCAGAAAAATCCAGATTGTAGGACTTTGGCTACAGTTCTTTGGCCACCATATGCAGCAAAATGACAATGTTGTAGCATTGCAGGCACATCCTTATGAGATGTACACCTTATAAGGATCTGGTCAACTCCTAATTTAAACAAAAAAGGGTTATCCCATAGATAACTCTTTGCATCATGGAGTAACTTCTTTCTTTGGTTCTTATTTAGCTCTTGTGGTATGATCCCAACAGCCAAGAAATTTGCATTGTCTGCAAACCATGGGGTTGTATAATGATGACTCAACATTAAGAGTTGTTCATCTGGAAATTTTTCATTGATTTCACCAGAACATGATTCTCCTTTCATTAATCTTGATAAGTGACCAGCAACATGGTTATTTATTCCCTTCCTATCCACTATTTCAATGTCAAACTCTTGTAGCAAAAACACCCACCTTATTAATCTTGGCTTGACATCCTTTTTAGAAATCAAATACTTAATGGAAGCATGGTCTGCAGAACAGTGACCTTAGTCCCCATTAAGTAGGATCTAAAATTTTCAAATGCAAAGACCACAACCAAAAGTTCTTTTTCAGTGGTTGTGTAGTTTATTTGAGCATCATTCATTGTCTTATTGAAAGAGTAGATAGGATGAAAAACCTGTTCCTTGATTTGGCCTAAAACTGTACCAACTGCCCAATCACTTGCATCACACGTTAATTCAAAAGATTTTGTCAAATCTAGTGTGATAATAATGGGGGCATAAATCAAAACCTTCTTCAAAGTCTCAAAAGTTGATTTACACTATTTGTTGAAATCAAAAGGTTGGTAATGTTGTAGTAGCATACAAGGAAGTCTGGAAATTTTTGAAAAGTCTTTTACAAACTTTCTGTAGAAACGAGCATGACCCAAGAAACTTATTATTCCTTTTATATTTGTAGGCTCAGGCATACTCTCTATTACTTCTAAGTTGGCTCTGTCTTCCTCTATTTCTCTTCTTGAGAGTACATGTCCTAACACAATACCTTCCTTAACCATGAAGTGACATTTCTCCCAATTTAGAACCGAATCAGTCTCTTCACATCTTTTAAAACCTTGCTCTAAATTCTTCAAACATTCCTCATAACAAGATCCATAGATAGAGAAATCATCCATGAATATCTCTATAGAGGTTTCCAACATATCAGAAAAAATGGACATCATGCATATCTGGAATGTGGCAAGAGCATTGCATAGTTCAAATGACATTCTTCTAAAAGCAAATGTACCAAAAAGGCAAGTGAAAGTGGTTTTCTCTTTATCCTTAGGAGCAATAGCAATTTGATTATGCCTGAATAACCATCTAAAAAGCAATAATATTATTTTTTAGCTAATCTATCCAACATTTGATCTATGAAAGACAAGGGGAAATGGTCTTTATGGGTTGCTTTGTTGAGCTTCCTATAATCCATGCATATTCTCCATCCTGACACTATCCTAGTTGGTATTAGTTCATTCTTCGCATTTTCTATTGCAGTCACACCTCCTTTCTTAGGTACACATTGGATAGGACTTACCCAAGAGCTACTAGTTATAGGATAAATAATACCAACATCAAGTCATTTCAAAATCTCCTTCTTAACCACTTCTTACATCACAGGATTCCATCTCCTTTGAGGTTCAACAAAGGTAAAGTCATTATCTTCCAAAATGATTTGTTGACTAATAGATGGACTTATGACCTTCAAATCAGATATTGTCCAACCTATGGGTTTGGTATAGGATTGAAGCATTTTTACTAATTGTTCTTCTTGTTTCTCTTCTAACGATGATGAAATGATCATAGTTAGCTTGTTATCTTCTCCCAAAAATGCATATTTAAGATAGGCAAGTAATTGCTTCAATTCCAAGTCTGGTAGGGATTCTGTGGATGGAAATGGGTTCTGTTTGGGCTAATCTTCTAACAGCTCATATGTTGCAGCTTGCTGCAACATCTCAT